GTTTTTTCTATTCTTCCCTTCGTTATTCTTAGTGTGATGGTGTTCAACCAGTGTGTGGCAACTGTTCGACCTTTAGCCTGGAATGCACTTATAACGATGCCACCAAAAAAAGGTTTTTATCTTATTTTTTTTTTTTTTTTTGTCAAGAGAATCCATAGAGGGAACTATCATGGTCAATTTCCTATTTTTAATTTTAGTTACCCTCGATTTTATGTTTCATGTTGATTTGTTGTTTTATGCAGGGGTCCCCCTAAAGGTTACATCGAAGCCATTGAGACACGATTACATAGAATGGAATCTCTTTTAGGTGGGTTAGTTCACAGCAATGATCCCTTTGCGGAGGCTGTGTTGGCAGAGTTGATGCAAGATGACCCGCGTCCTTCTCGTAAATCTGGAAATACGGAATTTACATGGAGGAATGGTTCTATATCAATACATGGTGATACGGGCAGTAGTGGCCTGCAAAGTCCTGAAATTGTTCAGGCAAAAGATAATTCTATTATTGATGATCTAAATGATATTATGGGAATTCTTAGTATAGACGAGAACCAACAGGTTCGTTATCATGGACGAAGTAGTGGACTTTATCTCTTAAAGAATAGTGAACGATACAAAAATGGGATTTTATCGTTATCCGATAATTCTCCAGAGGAAACTTTAATTTCTACCCAAAATCTAGAATCATTAAAGCGACCAGAATTGACGATATTACCTTCCCAAGAAATATCAGAACATTTATTGGAGACTTATTTCACGCACATCCATCCTCTATTACCTATTATCTATAAACCACTTTTTTTTAATCGATTAAAAGATCGAGATAATCCACCACCACTTCTTCTTTTAAATGCTATATACGCTCTTGCTGCGAGATTTTCTGACAGACCTGAATTAAGAAAGAATCTTCAGGATTCGCAGACGGCCGGCGACGAATTCTTTGATCGTGCGAAAGCACTACTAGATAATGATTATGATAAATCTCATATAACAACCATTCAAGCTCTTATTATAATGGCTTTAAGGGATATTAGAATTGATAACACCACGAGAAGTTGGATTTATATTGGTATGGCTGCAAGAATGGCGCAAGATTTAGGTATTCACCGTAATAATGAAAAGTGGCAACCGATCCCGTTATCACGTGAGGAAAAAGAAGAACAAAAACGTGCCTTCTGGTCTTGTTTTGTAGTTGATAGGTAGGTGAATATTATTTGTTAAGGTATATCAATACTTGCATGTATGTTTTTTTTTTTATTTTTTATTTTTTTTATTTTTATTATTATTATTATTTTAATAGAATAGCA